TATATATATATATTTATTCTTTTATTTTTTCCCATTTGTCATCATATGATCATATTGTAGAACACACAATTAGTTTCCACAAAATATCAGTTTTTTAATACTTGATACTTTCACTCAGTTTAGCCTACGGGAAAAAGACCATATTTACAATTACTGTGAAGAATAACCAATCAACGGCTTATCATACAAGATACAGATAGTTTCCTTGTCTCTGAAACTGTTGCAAAAACCGCCTGATGAAATCGTGGCAAAAAAGAGGACAGTAAAAGATCTTAAAGTGGAATGAAAACATAGTAAAACATGAAATTACTTTTGAATATTTCAGCAATTTTTGAAAATTGTTTCGGAATGACATAAATAAATATCGCCATGGTATTTTCCCCCTTATTCTAGCAAAGCGAAGTTCTTGAATTCAGTAATGGTGTAAATTTGATGAGAATTTTTTCTGGCTAGTTTTTGGCCTCGCGTAAATAGGATGCAATGAAATATGATATAAATATTGCTTGTAAAAATAATTTTTCATCATATTTAAATGTCAAGGATTATGGTCTAAATAAGTTAATTAAAAAAAGATGCGATATTGGGATAATTTAAATGATTCATGTAGTTTCAAAAGCATGTGTATTTGCAAATGCATGGCTAACAGAGACGGAAAATGCATAGAAAAATTTATGGCTACAAATGTTCCATGTGAGCACCATTAGTACCCCGACCAACATTCCAATGGTAAACTAGTTCCTTCCATTAGTTCACTAGCATGTTTCGATTAATGTCAGTCACAGCAAAAGTGATGAGTTCCTGCGATTTTGTAAACGTTACAGATACATAAACTTTGCCTATCACAAATTGGTATTTTGAATGCATCAACTTTATCTTTCACACGATGTCATTATGGTTACATAAACTTTCCTTCAAAAATTGGTATTGGCAAATACATAATTTCCGCTCTTTACAAGTTAGCATTGGCTGGTACATGAGGTTCGTCCTTTACAAAGTAGCATTGGCAACCACATAACCTTTGTCCTTTACCCGTTTATGTATCCCAATTGCTAAATACACTGCAGGAGCATATCACTTCTGTTGTAACGGACATTGATAGAAACAAGATATTGGCCGTATAGTCGTAAATGGTATACTACTGTTGTGTGTGGTGAATGAACAAGATTGAAGACATTGAACATTTGTAGTATGTACCAAAAACTATGCGATTTTATGCAACTTTCCCTATCTTTGTACTTGTAAATAAACTTGCCTATGAAACTGGTTAAATAATTTAAGCTAATTCTGTGGTTTCACAAGTATTTGCATTAAAAACGCATTTGTCCTCCAGACATTTTCATGGTTCACCTCATATATGTTCATATGAACAGAATTACTCAAATTTCAGATAGATAATTTTATAATAAGCCCTTGCAAAAATTTCTATGAATTGATTGATTTTTAAACAAACCTATTCTTACTCCAATAGACATTAATGAATTTAAAAAGGAATTCTTTCACTTGAACAACCAGATTAAACATAGTTTGCGTTCACAAATATTATATACGGATTACCAAATAGGATGTATTCCAGACCGTCATGTGTATATTTTGTACGACGCTAACTATCAAATTAAAAAATAGTTCGTGAAAAGTAAACTAAGCGTCGAGAATACGAGCATTTCATTCCATTTTAAGTTCTTTTCGTTGAGAGATGGAAGACGGTGGAACAAGGTCTTATGATATGTTGAACAAAACAAGAACTATTTGCTGTTTCCCACTTTTGCCCCCTCCCCAATCTCCTTCCTCAGAAAATAAACAAAAGTTCCGACGCAAATGTAAAATTGAGTAATATCCTCATCGTTGCCATAGCGACCATGATACTACTTTTTTCCTGCTTGCTTTGAATTCAAATTCTTGTTCTATTTTGCATATTTATCTCGACGAATTTTTTTTCTTTTTCCTATTCCGTCCTTTTCCCTTCATTGTTGAAGCAACATTGAGTTGTCTCTACCTTCACTTGTAAATTCAAATAAAAAACTTCTTTTCTACATAAAAAGACTTGATTTGCTTATTTGTTCACATCCTAACACCAAATAAGGGTATTTGAGAAGAAAATAAACACAAATGTGCTGAAATCGAATTCTTCGAGAACTTTCCTATTTTATAGAACGTGAAAAGATAGTTCTTGTATTTGTAATAAGATGCTACGTTAAAAAATAAATTAAATTGCAAGTGTAATTTGATTGAATTTCCATATCGACTGAGGCTATGGCATTGTCTTTTGTGTGCACCTTAGTTTAAGTTCAAATAAGAAGAAGATTCTCTTAAAACTGATTCATTTTATATGAAAATACTATAAAAATATATTAAAATCTCATGACTAATATGAGATGTTTTATTCCTTTTGAAAAGCGAAAATTCCCAGAAATCAAGCTATCTTACATTTTTGAATGATTAAAAACTGCTAGAAAATTAGTTATTTCACTTTGATACGGAAAAAATATTAGAAATGAGCTATTTCTTTTGAAAAATGAGTTCTTTTACTTTCATAAAAATTCCTGCTGAACAAGATATGAAGCGATTAATTTCTAAACATGTTGGCAGATGTCTTAGCCGTAATTTAAGGTTCTCTGCTCGACACAGTGGGCCAGCAGCAAAGGTTTCGTGGCCAAAATTAGTGTTTTGATAAAATTTGTTTCAAAATTTTGGGGGTTTTATTTAGGGTTTTCATGTGCAGGTAAATTGAATTCATAGTTAAAATGTTGAAATACACTAAAAATACCAACAAAAAAAAACAAGATGGCGGCTTAAATATGGCGAGCAAAAAAAAAATATATATATATATAGTACGTTTAAATAATTAAATATAGCAATGAAAATATAATAATTTTCGTAATTTTATATTAAAAATGACAAGCAAATTATATTACCGAAGTAATATTACAAAATAATGCGAAAACATGAAGAAAAAAACATAATTTTTTTTTTCGGTATATTTAGTCCCCCTTAGCAATATGGGCAAAATGGGGCAGGTTTTTTCGAAAGTAGAAACATCAAAGAAGACAACAAAAAAAGTTTAGCTAATTACCTCGTGGAACTTTTTGGAGATAAGTTTCGAAAGTGATTCAAACATTGTAAAATGTCAAATGATAAGATATAAACTATAAGTTTGTCAAGAGTATTAACTAATCCAACAAATTGAAAAATGTTTCTATAATTTCAGACTAATTACTCTGATAAAAATGTCACAGAAAGGTGAAATTCCTATATATATTTCTGAAACATTTAAAAGTTACATTTAGAAAAAAAAAATTTAACTTATTTTTCACTACATTGTATTCTCGTCGGTTCAAAAAGTAAATTATAATGTTTGGAATGATTATGAATACTTAATTTGGGCAATATTAAAGCTGCCTAAACATATTTTAGTTGAAATTTAATTTTTGACTTTTCGCCAAAGATCATGGTCTTCTGGCCCACTGTGCCCTGTATTAAGGATCCTTGATATTAAAAAAAATATCTCCATAATATTAATAATCAGAGCTAATAATTAGAATAATGCAATATTTTATTGAAATTTTTATGAATGATAGATTTCAAAAAATAAAAGATGGACTAAGAAATACACTTATTAAAAAACGATAGCATATATTGAAACATTATTTCCTTTGTAGTATTATATAGACCAAATAAATTAATAAATAAACAATAAAGTAATGAAACTGGAATTCTAAAAAATATATACAACACATTCAAATTGGAAAAAAAAACAATAAAAAGAATTTTGAAATTTTGGAATGATACTTACAGTGGACTGGAAAACAAAAAAAGTTCCCATTTCCTTAGGAGGCGCCTCCCCCTCTGTCCCCTTAAAACTATAATTTTTGAGTACTTTATAAATAAAATTTTAATGCATATTTGTTTGGTATTCAAACAAATAAATGCTATAAAATAATTCATGTAGATTCTAGTCATAAAAAAAATTCATATTCCCTGAGGAGGACTTTACCCTCTAAAGGACTTTACCCTTTCTACCCTCTAAAACCTTAATGTTACAATTTGTAAATATCTGTATAGTTTTGCAAATATCCTTTATGTGACTAAATATCCCCTATGGACCCTAAATAATCAATTTAATAAGAAAAATTGCAAGAAAATTGCAATTTCTTGCGAAAATTAAAATTTTTATCGTAATTTAGAGAGGAAATAACGGCTAATGTATTTCCTATGGAATGTTCAATATTGTGCCATTTCACCGTTCAACATTGTGCCATTTCACCAATGGAATGTTCAACATTGTGCCATTATGGAGGGTGGAAAGAGAAGCCGATGTCAATACAGAGCAATTGCACTGAAAAATCTTAAATGCAGTGAATATAGGACAAAAATGTGGAAATAGAAATTAAACTTAAGATAAAAAAAAAAGTACAGAGAGCTCTAAAAATGGCATTTCCTGGTGCAAGTTAGAAATGAAGATGTTTAGCAAATATTTGAGACGTAGGGGAGAGTCGGGTAGCCCCACCCACTTAAGGAGTATTGCTTATATTTCTGTATAATATTGAGTAATAATCAATATTTTTGTATGTTTCCATTGTTTTATCATCTAATTAAATAATGCAAGAAGAATAAAATAAAAAAAGAATAGTTTATCTTAAAAAATAGAAATTTTAAAAAACATGTTTTTCAGCTCTTTTCAAAATGTGTCGGGTAGCCCCGCCCAGTTACAAAAATTATGTTTTTTGACTGTTTTTTCAGGTGTAAATGAAAATGGCCAATGTATTGACAATAGATAAACCTCATTTATCATTTTTATCACCAAATTCAACCGATTTTTCTTAATTTCATGACTACTATATTCAACATATTTTCAAAACTATTGTTTACCATGTTACCAGCTGCATAAATACTTGAAACTTTGAAAATAATCCTGTTTTAAAATAACAATTTAGGTCCGATGGCCCATTGACTTGAAAAAATATTCTATACATATGAAATTGACAGTGGGCGGGGGTACCCGACACTTCCCTACACTTAACTACCATGTAAATGCTGACATCTATCAGTAAAAGTTGACATTCTCCAGATTTCGGTCTTTCACTGCAACATATATTTATTGACAACAAGCCATAGGTTTGTAAAAATGGTCACTTAGCATCTTTATTATATTTATTTAATTAATTCTTATTTCATTTTTATTTAAATAAAGACTAGCATGTTTATCTTTTTAAAAAATGAGAACTGAACAGGAGCAAGACCTCCGCCATAAATTACTTTTAAGAACCACTGGAACTCTATTAAAGGTTCAAGAGAAAAACACCAAGAGTTCTATAGATTTTCTGTAAGCTTATATAGGAAGTTAATAAAGAATGCAACTGTAAAAAAAATCAACTTTATTTTAAACAAAGCAAAGATATTAACAAACAGAGAACCTAGTTTTTAAGCACAAACTCTTTCTAAAACGTTAATTCCTTCAGTTTTTGGCCAGTCATTAAATTTTCTTCAATGTTTTCATGGATGTGATGTTTGATATATATTATATGTCAGGATGTGATATGGAATGATATATGTGATGTAGGTAATGTTTCATATCACCTAAAAGAGACTACGGGGTAGAACAGTTGTGGATACGACAACCACAAGAGGTCACCACCAAATTGTCAATTTTCCTTTCTACCAGTGTGACATTACCTTTATCATCGGTTTCTTTGAAGAATAAGTTGATGGAGTCCATCCCAGTTACCTGACATGTTGGCTTCCAGGATTCGTCCGGGATATGAAAGCCATTTCTTTTGTGGTAGAGATACATAGCACGGGCGTACACGTGTGTATCGTTCGTGAATGAACCAAAACCTACGTGGCACTCCCCCACACACATCCTCAGATTGATCCTCGAGGGGACGGCATCACCCTTCCCCAAATCTTGAGAAAACACATAGCGATCTTGCAGAACACAGGACGAAATCATCCTCCGTCTTCTACTTCGAGAGCCACTGGACACAACCAAAAAGGGATGTGGTTCATCCTCTCTTCTGATTCCTAGAGTACAAAAAACAAATACATATGAAATGAGAAACAATGAGAGACCACATAAAGAACTGAGCCATTCTTTGAAGTTAAAACAAATTGCATTTTAGACTTTATTTGTTAAAAGTTCAGTAAAATTTCATAATCTGATACAGATTTTATGCGTGTTTTTTGTTTTTGGTATTGGTATTTCTCCTGACTTGCTTTATAAATATAGAGAGATGATCTAAACACACATCGGTTTGCCAGTACAGATGTCCCTCGTTTCACTTAAATGAACAACATCCCTCCACATAGAACTTATAAAGTCGACGATTTTGGACGGGAGTTGTATTTCAAATTTTTCAAAATCCAGCAAATATTTGTCACTTGTCAGGCGTCTGGTTGGTTCATTATCTGTTCATTATCTTCATTATACCAGTTATCCTATATGATATCAGAAGAAAATATTTCTTCGTCAACAAACATTCCTCTTCAAGTTGTGACTGTGCACGACTTGAAGTTCCAGCTTTGCTTTGCTTTGATCGGGCTGCTGCTTTGATGATCTACCATCAGCTATCCCCTTTGAATAAATCTTATCCCAATGTCCATTTTGGCGACGATAATTGAAAATATTATTTGACTTTCTTCAGGATCTTTTACTATGAGAGTGGTTTAATTGTATTATCTTCCTGATTTCTTTTAAGCTCAACTTTATAAAACTGCGTTGTCAGTTCATCAACTATTCTCTTATCATCGCCAAGCAATATCCAACTTGACTTAAAAATGTTAAATTCGTTTGGCAATGCATCAACAACTTGTAAGTTAAGTAGCAACTCTGGTAATTTGGAGAGGTTTTTTATTCACTAACCTTGCATTCAGTTCAATGTTTTTAATTTCGAAAGATGAGCTGCTATATTTTCATTTCCCTTCCGCTTAAATTGGAAAAATGCATGCAAGTGTTATAAAGTTGATTGTCGGAAGATGCTCCGTATAACACAAGTAATTCTATCCAATTTTCTCTAGCAGTCTCTAATCACATTACCTTTTGAAAAATTCTTCTGTCACGGAATTAATTGAAACAATCACAGCAATTGTGGTAGCATATATCGAAATCCTTAAAATCTTTCTCATATTTCGTTTGAACAGCGGTTTTAGCTTACGTAGTAAAATTTTCAGGCTTGATAAAATTCTCCTACACAGCTTCCAAAGCACTAGCATGAAAGTTTAAAATAAACTTTATCTATATTTTTATACTTGCCAATCACATTTTCGGGCTAAAAGCTGTAGCTGTACTTTTGATAAGTCCATATTTCTATTAAAAACATAACGTTACAAGTAAAGCGTGACTAAGACTAAAACGTTTGAGACGCCAAACAACTTAACACTAATTACTAAGCTCAGGTAAAACATAACGTTCCCATTACCTATAAAAACAAATTACCTGCAGATTTATTATTTTATTTTTCGTTTGAGATTGAACAGAAAAGCGTAACCATTAATCAAAATCAACACAAGTTACCAGAAACAAAAAGCAAAATATTCTTTAAGCATAGAATTTTTTTTCATCTTATAAACAAATCATCAACAATAACAACTAGTGAAGTAAATGATTTAAATATTACAACTAGAGGAGTAAATGATGATAGACTAAATGATTGAATGTATCAAGTCATAATTAATGATCTACAAACACGTGACTGCTAACAAGCATGTAAAATCAGACTTTGATCCTTAGCTGACTCCCTAATATATGTAACTATGTGATATATGTAACTTTTATCTTCTATTTCTTCAGCTGTTTCCTAATATGCCAAATAGAAACTGTGGGAGTGTGCCATCTTACTCCGATTTACCCTTATAACTGTGAATTAAATTCAATCTGTTTTAAGCGTGGTCAAAAGCAAACAATAAATAGCTTTAGCACAATTCTAATAGTCTAATGCAATTAATCTTTATAATGATAAATAGACTCCAGGCACAGACTTCAATTATCTACTGACTCAGGCACCCTCCCCTATTGTTCCTAAATCTAAAGTTCGCTTCTCTCTAGCTTTCGATGACCTCTTTCGCTCACTCTCTTAAATCACGTGTCAATCTTTAAAATAATGTCATTTCTAAGAAATATTAACATATTCAAGTGTTTCTGATAACCCTTTATCCGGCCCATTTTCACTTCCCGATTGTTGGTTGGTCAGTACTAGTGATTAATTATTCGTAAAAGTGGCTTGAAGTGTGATGATTAATTTTTTATTAAATAGCTAGCTTATCAGCCTTCAAGGTTTGTCTCGATGATAGATTTGATCTGGGTCACAAAAGATTAAGCAGAAAAGACGCCTTCAGATGGTTTACAAAAGAAAATAGTTAAAATTATGCCATCACAAGGCCGTCCAAGTGATGTAAACTGTATATAATATCAGTTATCTAAAGAGGCTTCGCATTATTTATACCATGTCTTACATTTATTGAAATGTATCAATTATTTGGAAGAAGAAAACGCTACTCTTTTCCCACACCCTTTAGACATCATTTTCAAGGATAGTCGTCATGTGACAGTTGCGGAGATCACTTGGGTGATCACCTGCACTGAAAAAGTTTTAGTGTATCTTAACGCCAAGAATGTTGGCAACTACTTTACTCCAGAAGTTGCATAATCATTGCACAATTTCCGTTGCATTTCTTATGGTGAGCAGTAGTTGCTGCGACTTTGGTGTTGAGTAATAGCAAAACATAGGACAACAAAGCCTGACAATGCTATATAATTAACGTAAAAACTAGTAAAGTTACTTTTACGATACAATTTGCAACACAGACTATTCATTTAGACTGCATACATTCCACGATTCTTGAAATAAAATTGTTCATTTACTAACCGTATACACATCACAGAGGGGGCATTAAAAGAAATTTGAGTTATACTTGCCAGAACAAAAATAAATAATTAAATATTGTAAAATTATTTAATACAATTTACATATTTATGTAAACCTTCTTATAAGAACATATTTATAATTGACCTACGAAAAAAATGCATGCCTTTTGTAAAAGTGAACTTTTTCTGTAGAATGTTCAACAGCTCTCGAGGCGATAACAAATTTACACATTCTCGTGCTCGATTGTAAACAATCTACCATTGTTATTTAACGGTTTCCAAACGTACTCCAAAATTATTTAAGCAATTGGTACATCATTTTTCAGTTTGGAACCCAAAAATATGAAGAGTTTATCTATATGTCTTTGTTTCTCTCTTATCTCCAGAACCTTTCGTGGTGGAAAATTTGAACAGTAGATAAAGGGGAAAAAAAATATTTTTACAAACATTATTATTAATAATTTTTTGCTGAGCATCTAGGAGTTTGCCCCGCAGTTACTGGCAACATCTATGACAGATACTGGAATGCTAGGAAACAGTTGCAGGCACTGCTAACTGACTGGTTTTCTGTTTATGCTTATATTTCTATTGTTGATATTCTATTTAATGTCTCTTTGATCTAAATAATTTCTTTATTTCGAATGTTTTAATGTTTTCAATTTTTCTTATTTGTTTTTATTCCTTATGGGCCTGTGCGGAGTGTTTTTACACTCCAGTGAATGATATATATCAAGTGCTGCTGCTAGAAATTTTAAAATTTTAATTATTTTTTTCTGAATATGTTGGCTAACTTTTACAGAGAGAAAAGGCAACAAATTTTTATATGCTCCAATGGTGAAAAAAAGAAAATCAGTTGTAAAAAAGGTATGCTTACTCAGAGAAAATACTTTTTGTAATTTGTAGTTAGCACTAATTATTAGCATATTTGGATTTAACACTTTGAACCATTGAAATTTTCATTCAGTTCGAGAAAAACTCGATAGCTAGAACAAAAGATATTTAGGGTGATTTTTTTGCGTATTGTTAACTTGATAAACATTCCAGTTGGCAAGAATTTTTCGTAGCATTTTTTTCTACAAATGTTCCGCTACGTACATTTTACTAGCATTTCTTAATTGTCAAGATTAGCGATTAGCATAAACTAATGTCTGATTCTCAAAGTCAACACAATAGAATCACAAAGAAAACTGTTTTTATAGAGGAAGAGTCTAAGGAAAAAATAATAAACTTATATGAAGTCAGGTTTATACATTAAAAATAATTAATACATTAGTTAAGAAACTTAAGGTTTTAAAGAAACTACTTGTATGTTAATCATTATGGTATCTTCCAGTGTGCCCACAGGCGTAACAGAAATTACATTTTTAAAACGCTACACCGGATTCCATTTTGTGTAACCTCAAAAATTATCTGAATAAGTACTTTATTTCAAGTCCTATACACTTTAAAGGTTGTAATTAAATCTAATCACCAATAATTTAGAAAACTTACACTTGCCTCAAACGCATTTACTACGCTCACGAATTTTTTTCGCCAATTTTGGTGCAAGTTCTTAAAAAGTCAGATGACAACGGTAGATTGTTTACAATCGAGCACGAGAACGTGCAAATTTGTTGTTCCCTCTCTTGTTGAACATTCCATAGAAAAGTTCACTTTTTACAAAAGACGCGTAGGTTTTTAGTTGCGTAAAAAGGATAAATATGTTCTGATACTTTTTTGCGAATAATATGCTATTTTTATAACTGCTGTGAGTTTGCAACTGTCACTCATGACTGTTAGCTCAAATTTACCCTATCTAAAGCCAGTGCTGTCTACGCTTATTCAAAAAATTGAGCTAAAAGCCTATATGGTGAAAAACCACAGTTGTGTGAAAATTAAAACCGAGTGTGGTCTAATTTTTTAATATTTAAAAACTTACTCTAATTGTGCATTACCTAGGTTCATAAAAACTTGCAAAAACTGAGAATAAGGTAGAGATTTTGATAATTTTAATCTAGATGAAAAAATAACTAGATGGAAAGATTTTTTAAAAGTTTAATAGCTTTTAAAATATTTAAGTTATTTGTCTGTTCTAAAACCCAGATAATTCTTCACGGCAAGATTATAAACATAGTTCTAAATCATAGCATCGCTTCAAGGTTACAGCACTTAAACTACGGCTTTTTTAATTTCTTCGAAACTTCGGAATATATCGTTAACAGCTCTTAATACAAATTGAATTGCCAAGTAATGAATTGCACCGAAAAGCCATTACATTATGACCACCCTCCATCTATAACAATGGGCTCGCCCAGGTTTTCATGGTTTCTCGCCCAGGAATAATGTTTTCATGGAGCACATTAGGACCCATAATCCTCATAGAACAATCCCTGACGTCTGTAAGCTACTTGAACATAGTTACAGATCAGATTCACCCATTCATGGCAACAGTTTTTCCTGCGGGGGATGGTGTTTACCAACAGCATAATGCACCATGTCATAATGGTCGAATCGTCATGGATTGGTTCAAGGAACATTCCAGTGACTTCCAATAGAGCATTTGTGGTCCTACTTGGAAAACCAAATTCGTGCTGCCACGCTACCCCCTCGCAATGTGAGGGAATTGCAGGACCAGTTGGTGATCGCTTGGCACCAGATACCTCAGACTACCTATCAGCACCTTGTGGAATCAATGCCATGGCAAGTGAGCAGTTTTGAGGGCTAAAGGTGGCCCTACATGTTATAAGCAGGGTGGTCATAATGTAATGGCTCTTCGGTGTATATCGTATTGTTATGCTTTGTTGTCACAAGTTTTAATGTAACTGAATACCACACTAGAGGCAGCTACTTTTCTCAAAAATAAGTGTAGAAAGAAGTGTAAATCAGTAATATTTCATTAAATGGTGCCATGATTACCCAATTTTGGTACAAAGTAGTTTTCGTCAATTTTAATGTTACGATACACTAACATTTTTTACAGTATACTGTTGATACACTGAAATATTTCTTAATATAGTGTTCAAAAAATACCGTCTTTAATATACAGTTTTGGAATTCTTAAGAAAAGTTTACCTATTAAGGGTCACAAATCAATATTGAAGGACGAGAACGCTTTCGAAATTTTCGGAATAATCAAAAACAAAAGTCATCAAAAAAAAATGGTTTGGTGGCCTAATGAAACTTGCAAGTGTTTCTTAGAATAGAATTTCAACTCTTCTTCTATTTCCCCCGGTAATCAAACAGGTTTTAATGTTTTCTTTCCCGCCGTCTTTACTAGTGATTCGGTAGATTTTGAATCCTTTCTGTTTCTTTCGCTTTTAAATATTTTAATTTGCGACCCCTAAAATTTATAATTTTTTTAACCTCCTTTGGTGCTGAGGTTCTAAATATATGTATTCAGGATGATGATTACGGATCATTCTGTGTAAATAGAAATTGTTAAATAGTTTCTATAAATGTACATATGAGGAAAAACACTTACCATCATCGGTATATTCTATGGAACAGTGAAATGTGTTTTTCCTTACTCGTTGGATACAGGGCGTGGTTTCAAAGTATACCCAATCATCTTCCACGACAGCTGTATTATCAGTTGAAAGTGGCCACACAAGTGAAACGTTTCTTAGAGACATAGGATTCTGATAAACAAACAGTCGGGCTGACACTGCATGGGAAACGGGTAATTCAATTTGAAACTCTAATCTATAGCAGTCACTCATCTGACTGTAGAGACACGTGTTATTACCTAAGAAATTATACAAAACTGTTTTTAAAATATACTGTGCTTTTTAATTACAAATCTTAAAAAATACAATATTTAGAAAGTTAGTTGCTGATTTTTTCTTTCTTTGTTAACACAAAATCTTTGCCCGCAGTATGATGTAACTTTCTATTGCTATCGTTTGTTAAGGATATTATCAAGTAACCAATAGTTTTTATGTAGATAATAAAACTCACACTAATATTTAATTTTCTATTTATTTAATTAAAATTAAAATGACTTTGACAACCGTGACCAAAAATATACATAACAGAACTAATAGCAAGGGGAAACAAAGTTTTTGTAGCATTTATACAAATACTTGATCTTGCCTAATTTGAGTGTGGGGATTTCAAATCTGAAATTATTTTTGCTCCTAAAGCTAAAGTCTCTTAATGACTCTTTCAGTCTATTTTTTGTCTAAAAGAACAAGTTTAAAAACGGTATATATAGCAAGGGGTCACGTAAATGTTACGACAAACTTCTAGAGGAGTTAATGCACATCATCAGGGTTAAAAATACATAGGAACTCATGCACAGAAATGTCGTCGTACGTGACTAAGGGCGCTTCTCTATTGTAATTTGTTCAGAAGCACGTGAAAAAGCAGTTTACAATAGGATAGCGGATCTAGCAAAGTATGACAACATTCCGGTCATGGATTCCCATTCAGTTTAAATCCTGATGGTGTGCCCTAACTCCCTTAGTTTTTTCGCAACATTTACGCGTCCCCCTACTATATATAAAGTTTTTATACTTGATGCATTTCGACAAAAAATTGGCTAAAAATGTCATTTTTGAAAAGAACTGTAGCTTAGAGAAAGAAACCGATTACAAATTTTGATTCAGCAATGCGAAAGTATCTAAGATCTGTTAAAAAAAATCTCATGTAACAGAGAAACAATTTTTGTAGTATAATTATTTGATGATGTTTTAATTTGCTAAATTTTTAAATAATAATTAATTATTCTACTATTTACTTGATAAATTAATTATTTTTCTCTACAATTACAACTGCAACGCCAATAAATTTTTCATGGCATTAAATCAATTACAATGCCAGTTACAAATTTGTATCGATTTTGATGAAATGAAGTAGAAGGAGTTCACAAGCTTTAACTTAGAATTAAAAATTTAAATTCCTAAACCTTTAGATACGCTTAAGTGGAGGTAAGCTGTCTTTATAATGAGTATACAATGCTGTTTATAGTATATCGATAAATAAAATACATAAAATACTTGAAGTCATTAAAATATTATGGTAATTAAAAACGCGATAAAATGCAGCTTTTTGTCTTAGCATTGCAACCACTTTTTAATTTTTTATCAGTTGCGTACAAACTCTGAAAAACTAAATTTTGAAAGAAAAATTGTAGATGAAGTTATGGTTGAGTTGATATGAAGTTATGTTAGTTAAGTTGTTAACTTCTAATTTTACTAACACTTCAGTTTAAATAAATTCCAAATGCATAATTTCAGGTCCAAATATAACTACTTATTTTTTACTAGCTTAATGTGGTTGAAAAAATATAAATAACCTCTAAATCAGTATTAATCAACTCCACGAAATCTCGCACAAACCTGAAGGGTATATACAAGGATTGATCAAAATAATGGAAACACTTCTAGACTAACTTTATGTAAACAATTTTTCTTTTGATAGAAACATTTTAAATGGCAAAACTGTTGACACAATTTGAATGATCATGCTTGAAGCTTTATGAAATGGTATCATTTTTACCAGTACGAAATTCAGATCGACCAAAATGAGGAGAGTAACTTTTTTCTAGTTTGAATACCAGCAATTCTGAAAGATTCTATAGGATTGCGATATTTATATAAGAATGCTTTTAGACTTATAATGGCATTGGAAAAAGGAAATAAGCTTCAAACATTTTGCTCTTATTTTGAACGATCTGAATTTTGTATGAGCAAAATGCACACCGTTTTTAAAAGCTTTAAGCATGATTTTTCAAATTGTGTCAACAGTTTTAGAATATAAAATCCTCCCTATATATTTTCTTCCAAAAGAAAGATTGCTTGCATGACAACAATATGAAAGCAGAGATGCCAAATACTCTGGATTCGATAAAATATTTTAAAAAACGATTAAGAACTACAAACTAAAATTTCCAGATTTTCTGTTAATTTTGTCATCATTTTACATGGCTTAACTGTAACAAACTGACTTATTACATAAGCCTTTAAATTGTTCAGAAGTAATGGAGAGCCAAACCCTATTAATCAAATTTACCAAACCAAGAATCATACATTAAAAAACTACCGATCGAATATATTTATCCGCTGTCCGGAGCAAGTTGGCATCTCTGTAGAAATTTTCGTATTATTTTGTCACCTATTTGTTTTTCGGTACAATATGGGGTGCTTCAGTGCCATTTTTAAAATGCCTGAGAAGAACAGTATTTTTATACAGTAATTTATATCAAGAAACAGTATTTTTATGAGACTTATACCGGAAAACAAATGAGGTTTGATAGTCTCATTTCAGGAAGAAAACAAAACTGGAGGGAAGTTAGAAAATTATTATAATTTTGAAAATTAAAGCATCATTCTTTTACTCAGCGACGGCTCTGCAACTTTATAATTGTTTTAATTTATTAACACTCGACTTTTTACACTGCACTGATATAAAAAATGCTTTTATTTATCGTACAGACCTTAACCCTTTCAAGAAGAATTTTTATTAAACATATTTTTTATACTTTCCTCAATATTTTGTGTAAATTTAGGTCAAAATAAGTAAAAAATATTATATTTAGCATTTTAATAAGTTATGGCTATTAAATAAAGCACGAAACAACGGTGTCTTTTTTAGCGTTAAAGGTAAAGTCTTACAAACACGGCTCGTTTCCAAACAATTTTTTTTCTTTCAAATTTACACTTATTTGCAACTATTTGATGTAAGAGAAACAATTATTCATCACTGAAATTTCTTGAATTTAACAAATCAGTTAGTGATAAATTTTTGAATATAAATGAAAAAGAAATTTTTTCAAAATATTTTTTGGACTATTTTAGCAAAATTATAATTCCGAAAGCTTAACATATTTTCTTAGTAAATATTAGACTGTCTTTTATAGCTAATATATACCATAATACATTTTGGCCTATAATTAGAGTGTCAGAAAAAAATATATAAAAGCGACATTAGATTCCCACCAGCGTCAAAGGGTTAAAATACTAAGAAAGTAAAGTAAGAAAAAAGGTATATCTTAATAAATTCGTGAAGATATATCTTAATAGAAATATATTTAGTTGTGAAGCATGAGGTTTCGAATATTTAATTTTAAGGTGTTTTTTACTTTTTATTACATTATTGACATCCTTTTTTTAATTTTTATAAGAACCGTACGAACCCTGTTTAATCCATTAACGATTAGTGTCCTCAGTTAAGCACAGTTTTTTTTCTCCAAAAGATAAGAAATGGTAGCACAATTATTTCAAAATTAGTGTTTATCTAGGACGAACTAATTTTACACCTTTATCGTGGTATATTTTTAACATAAATTTTCTATAAGGATTTATAAGCACGAAATTATGATTTGTTTAAAATTTGGGTGGTATCTAATGTCAAAAAATTCTCAATTGTTTTAAATATTATTGTACTATCACTCGTTTTGTAATAATCATTTTTCACATCATGTCATAATAGATTAAAAATGTTTATGGATTAAAAAGTTGTAATTCTTTTAAACTGAATAAAGATTTTCTTTTGTTATCTAGGGCGTCACATTAAAAAAGAACATTGCTTAGCTTAATATCCATAATAAATTTTTATTGTAAGCATATTACAAGAATATTAAATGCTCCTCTTTTTGCAAAAGATTTTATTAAGTAATAAAGAATTAAAACACTCTAGGGCTCGGTTTGAAACAACTAGATTTAAGTAGAATTTTTAAATATTATTATACTATTTATATATAGTGATTATTTATATATAGTGATTATTTATATTATGAGCAAAATAAAAAGCTGATCATTAGATTAAAAGTTATAAACCCTTGATAACTTTTAATCTAATTATCGGATCTTCATGTTCTAGGACTCATTCTTAATAATTCATGGGGGTGACCTCAAATATGCTAACTAATTAATGCAGATGATATTTTAATTAACGAAATAAGACACAAAACGTACATTATCTGAATAAACATACCTATTTTTCCACTGATTTGAATTTTTCAACCCTGAAACATAGGGGATAGCCGCAGTCTGAGATATATGGTCATTATAGTCTGGTCAGGAAAGCGATCCAAAGTTTGGACCCCTTAATGTTACTTTTTGCGTATTTCGCCATATCTCAAGAAATTTTTTAGCGGATTGAAAAAATTTTTACACTCAATTATAAAATTCGTTTATCCAAAGATAATTCTTCAAAAAATAACTTTTAATAAATGCTTATCATTATTTATTATTTTATTTGATATTAGTCGAAAATTTTTGAATTGTTTGGAGTACAATTTTCTACATCATTTTAAAGAACACAATCTTACATGGAAAAATACAAACTTTAGTCTTAGTAATAGTCTATACTATTTGTCTATACTAATCAAAAGATTTTTAAAAATCAAAATGCGAAATCTTTAGTTTGAGCGAATTTTCAAAATAATGGCCTAAAAATAAAAGATTTATGGTTTTCTTTAAACTCCATTTTGTTTACTTGTGCCCATTTAATATAAATAAAATTATATCACAAAAAAAGTTATAATTTTCAAAATTTATTTATTATAATTTTTAAAATTTCCTTATAATTATCAATTTTCATACATATCTATTTTTTAATATAATGCTTAGTTCTATTTTTAAATAAAAATAAATTTTATAATTATAGAATACAAAAATTTAATATCATTTGCAAATTTTCTACTCAAAATTAGATTTTTTCCCATTGCTTCAAACCAACACAAACTTATGCTTTTTTTAGATGCTTTTTTATGCTTTATGTCCCTTTGACGCAGATAGAACGCAGGTTATACATATTTTTACTTTTTTTTTTACCTCTAATTATAAATAAATATATCTCGGTATTGTTTTTCAGTAATTTATTTTGAAAAATTATAGAAATTTTAATTATGAATATCTTCTTCTCTGATATCTAAATAACTGTAATAAGTGCAAATTTGAAAAATTATTGTTTGAAAGTGAGATTTGTTTGGAATATTTTAACCTTAACGAAGTCACTGGTTTTTCATGCTGTATTTTTGTTGTTGTAAGTTATTAAAATGTCAAATATAATATTTTTCACTTATTTTAACCTAAATTAACACAAAATAACAAACAAAAGGAGGAAAAATATGTTTAATAAACATTTTGAGTCGAAGCAACAAGTGCAGTGGTTGATAATAGAAGTACAGTGGTGATTAAATAATAGTAAATGTAAACTTGAGCATAAAATTTGTCACCACTAAAAAAAAATTTCCGTTAAATCGGAAAAATAAACTTTCTCGGCAATGAGTTGTATCGATTTTTAAAACAGTTCATGGAAGTCCAGTTTCCTGGAAATTCTCTAGTGGTACCACAGGTTTTTTATTTTTAAATGTTGAAAATATAGGTAAAGATTTAGAAACTACTTCAGAAAACACATACTTAAATACTACTTTGTATTATATGACTACTTTGTAAAACCTATCTCTGTGACTGTACGAATTAACAGTTATGCAGATTAAAAGCTTTTTATTAGCTTATGTATCCTTCTAGTAAAGTATTCTATACCATGTCCTGGTTAAAAAATCAGGGAGTTGCAGTCAAAAAACTTTTTCGTGACATAAATAGATGAATCTTGAAACCAAATTTAAATGTTGTTTACATATAAACTACTTTTAAATTCTGTGTAACGCAAGTAAATTTAGATAAATTTATAAATTTAAGCTTTTATTTACTTCAATTTTCGTTAACTCAGAATTCCCTCAGGCAATTCTTTGAGAAAAATACAAAAAAAAAATGTATTTGTAACATTTAAATACCTGACAACTTTTAATCCTTTCGAGGATGATTTTCCCTAGAGGCAGTAAAATAGAATTTGAATTACAACTTTAGGCAGAAACATAAGCTGTATTTTGAAAAAGCTTATGTGGATTACCACTACACTATTACATATTAATATATATGCTTAATTTTTTTCAAAATAGTGGTGGGGTGAAAAAGATAATCAATTAAGTTTATAAATGCAAGGAATTTATAGAAAGCATACATTTTACTACCACTTTAAATATGGAAATTAAATTTCACGCCAAATGCGCAAAAAGTTGGCAGGTATGCATTTAGAGGACAGAAACATGAGCCCGGTCCTAGTTCTTTTGCTAAATCAGGAACTGCTTCCTAGTTCAGAAGCAGATACGCTATCACTTCATTCATGAACTATCAATTCATTCATTTTAATATCCTTGCAATAAAATGGTTTTTGTAAATAAAGGTACAAGTTGCGAATAAAATAGAATTTTAAATTCTTACCTGCAAACTTCTAAGATTTTTAAGAACAATACTTTCTAGTGATAACCGATTCTATACTATTCACGGTTTGAAAAGTTCGATTTAAAATTATTTTAACCATGGTTATGTTGTGGTGCACTCCAACATGAAGAATTTAAAAAACATATAGTACAAGAATCCTGAAAAAATATGTATAATATGTGTAAAAGCATATCAAAATTTATTTAAAAAATTGCTAATAACTTTAACCGTTTCGCATCGATCGTCATAAATACGTCACAGCATGGAAACCAAACTAATTCTTCAGCAGTTTATTTGTGGGTGGTTTTTATAATAATTTGATTTATTTAATTTATCACTGCTTAATTAGTTCAAAATAAAAACTATATAGTTACGCTTTGAACTAACATTGATGAGATATGTCATTAGACTAATAATGATTAAAGTGCAAGTAATTATGATTATTTGTTTTTTCATCCAGATTCTGATTTTGTTCGAACGCTTTTATGAATCACCCGTTCCGAAGGAGTTTTTAGCAAAAATTGCAAAAGTTGGAAACTATGTAAATTTATAAGATCAAAATATTGCATGGTTCAACCCATTAATTTCCGAATTTTTATGTTTCAGTGATGTAAGGAGTACTTTTTGGTAAACCGTTTTAGTATGTTTAGAGTCCATTTAGTATGTTTAGAGTGTATACTTCATTAAAAAAAAACTCCACATATAAGAAAATGTTTTTTTATATAATCAACCTCCTTAGAATTAAAAAATAGAGGAACTACTGCATGCTTTCCAACTGAAATCGCATCATCTGACAATTAAGTTATCAAGTAATTCAATTAATTAGAGTATTTCTTTCCTTGTTGGTTATTTAAATAAATCGTTATTGCGTGAAGGATAAAAATAAAAAGTCTTTCATAACTAAGATAAATATTAGTAATGAAATTATGCTCCAACTGCTTTTCATCTTTTGTGAGAAAAACTACCAGTTTGTTAACAATTTAAAAAAGTATTGAGTATTTCAATCTCACTTTTTTTTTATTAATGTACCCTCACCTCCTCCTCCCAATCCTACTCCTACTTCACACGTTCTCCCATTATATGTCTCAAAAATTCGACGAATCAGTCAATGCCATTTTTCGGAAGCGAACTGAAATTTGTGCTATGTTCTAACGTTCTAAAAAAAAAATTATTAACCGTCAAACCACTAATGTTCCCTTTTTTAAGCAAGTTCCCTTTCAAAAAAGTAAAGACTGGTAACACAATGACTTTATTGTAAACTTTTATTTTGGATATTCAAGATATTCGTATCTAACAAAATATTTTAATCATACTAGAATCTATATTCGGATCTGAAATCTCACTGTTGTAATATTTTTATGCCAAATTCGTAGTTAAATTGATAAAATATTTGCTTAATTCAATAACAACAGCTTATAAAGACGTTTCTTTTATTATTACAAACTGTGAGTCCTGCAGGTACATTGTTAAAAAGAGTTTAGTCAATTTAAATAAGTGAAGGTTTTCTTTCTTAAAGAACCACTAAAGTTTTAAGAAACGACTGAACACGATTTTCGCATCCAAATCCCAGCTTGAATTTCAATATTCGTTACAAACGTCCATTACAAATTTAAAAAACTAGATCTTAAATTTACAGAGATGCCAACTTGTTCCGGACTGCGGATAAGTATTTTCGAATGGTAGTCATTTATTATGTGACTCTTGGTTTAGCAAAATCGATTTAAAGGATTTTTACTCGCCATAATCTCTATATAATTCAAAGGCTTATGTAATGCCCCACTGTATTACAGTTAAGCCGTATTGAACCTTTTAAAAGACTGGCAAAATTAACCGAAGATTTGAAGATTTTAGTCTGGAGATCTCTACCGTTTTAAAAAGTATTTTGTCGAGTGCGGAGTAGCAAACATCTTTTAATTTAATAATGTATTCTAGTGTGCATGTATTATTTTTATTTCTTAGAATAACTATATCAAAATAACTTTTTTGCACTTTTTATGTTTAACTTTTTAGACACTAAAAGAGTAATAAGTCCTTTCGAATAGCATCGGGTATTAAGGAGTCAAAAAAAATTATCCGGATCATTATCAGTTCCTTAACATTCACAAATGTTTATGGTTAATAAATCGGGTGCTCAAAATCGTTTTGAATCACGTTTATAAAACCAAAAGCATACTCTTCAGTTACTACAGAATTTTTAATTTTCGTAGTATTTGAAAATATTTTTACTAATTGTAACAGATAATAGCATTTATATATATATATANTATATATTATTTGTTCTGAAATATGAAATTCAAAACACGTAGTTTCAAAATGTTCTTTTTTTCATTCATATTCAAAAATGTATCAATAATCAAGAAATTTAATGATAAGTTATTGTTTCTCTTAGACCTAAATAACTGCAAATAAGTGAAAATTTAAAAAATAATTCTTTGGAAGAAAGCCGTGTTTGGAAGATTTTACTTAAAATTCAAAAATGGACACCGGTGTCTGATGCTGTATTTCATATCCAAAAATTATTGAAATGATAAATATAATACATTTTTCCTTTACTTTGACCTAAACTATTACAAAATAACGAGAAAAGTATAAAAAAATATGCTTCAATAAAATTCTGCCCCAAAGGATTAAGAATGTTTGCTTTAATTCAGACCACTGGAAAAGTATGCGACGTGCAAAAACCATTGAAACCATTCGTGGAAAAATACCTACCCTCACCAAGTTTTTAAGGCATGCACTACAAATGGTAAATACGTACGTTTTTTGCCATTTGACGTACATACAAATGTGTATTTTAACAAATTTGAATTTTAAAATTTACCTCTTAAATTGAAAAGATTAAAAATAGTACTTAAAATAGATACAGTGTGCAAACTAACTTTTCTGCGTGACAATGAGTTGTTCTAAATTTTTTTCTGAACTAAAACTAATTGAAACTAATTACTTACTATTGATGGGAAATTCTATGTAATATCCGTAACTCTTTAATGCTCTCACTATTGGATCAGATGATTTCCAAAATTGATTGTTTGCTGAAGAAGAAAAAAATACCAGCCAAAAAATTAGGATACTGAAAACTAAAGTATGGTAGTCCATGTTTTAATTTCTAAAAAAGTGAATTTGATTCGATGTTCAGATCATATTTATGCATTCGAACTTTATTTTCATATGAAAAAAATAATAACAAATATCTCTCCCAGCCCCACCCCTTTCGCCTTTCTGTTTTCCATATTTAATGTAAATCTCGCATCAAAGATAACCAGTGAACCTCTTAGGAAAAGGTCAGTTTAAAGGAGTGAGGTCAGTTGTTTTTATTTTATTTTCGAACATTTAAATCTGGATCTATGTTTCAATATTAATTGGAAGAGATTATAAGAAAAATGTGAGAAATTTTCGATAACAGATAGATTTAAAAATTTTTTTATCCTTTTTTTGTAATCGCCATAAAGCAATACATTCGACAATTACATAATGTTGGATACTTTGTTTCCGAAGAACATATTCGGTTTATTTTATGTTACATTTATTTTCAGAAAAGTCGACTCAAAGTGAAACCCCACTACTAGTAGTTTGAACTGTAATGTGATGCAAATTTGCAGTAAATTTAATAAGATTTAAATTGAACCATGATTCAGTTAAACTTGAACCGTACCGTGAACCGTTATACGTGGTTTTTCGTAATTTCATTTCTTTTCAAATACGCATAACGATTACTTCTCAAATACGCATAATCATGCATTTCATTACGTTTAATATGTTAAATTAACGTGTTTACTTAAAATTATGATGATTATATAACTTCAATAAAATTATCTTTGCTTTTTAAAAAAAATATTGACTTAAAAAAAAAAGAATGTTGATGATGAATACGAAGCAAACACGGTGGTCGATGAGCAGAGCTTCCTAGTGTTAAAAAAAATTAATAATAAAATGAGGAATTAGACGAATTGCAATGCTTAGACGTTGTTAAAATTTTTCTGTTCCAAAGAGTATATCTAGGCCGGGATAGCCTGGTTGGTAGGGCACTGGGCTCATGTCGAAGAGATCGTGGGTTCGATCCCCGCCGGTCAAAGACTCCTCGCGTAGTAAATGGTAACTGATGCACGTTAAATCTGTCGAGTCACAAAGTCCACCATGTTCCCATAACAAATCATACCTCTTGGGGTACTGGTCCAGAAGTTTCCTTGTCTTCTGGATTGAGGTACAGGCTACGGAGTTGAACATTAGTAGTCGTAAACCCAAAATTGGGTCTGTCGTTCAGCGACGGGTATAAAATAAATATATAAAACAGTATGTCTGTACATCAAAATAAATATTAAGAAACACGTATTTTACTATGGAATGAAAAATTCGAACAGTAACATAACTTAACACTTCACACAAATATGTTGTTATCATGTATAAGATCAGCTTAATGTCAATCAAGATTCCCAATCAATCATAGTTATGTGTATTTTAATACTTTCATATCTTCATGTTGTATATGGAATAGTCATATAATATTTTGTAAGCTTTATTTCAATGCATTTTTCATATTAATTTGATATGCATTTTTCATATCTTATGTTATATATAGAATTGTAATATAGCTGTATCTTAATTTTTTACCTTTAAATAAAGCGTGCTTCCACAGCTATTAATTGATAGAATCCGTTTGGATCAAATATAGGGCTGTGTGCTGGTGGTATTATTATTAATTACGCTGTTAGCTACTATTTTAAAAAAAGATTCTTAAGAAATAGAGATGGCACAAGAGATGTTGTACTAAAATCATCGCCTTTTAGGAGAGCATTATGAACGTAATGTAAGGAACTGGAGTATCTAAAATTGCAGTTTTCGAAAGAAAAACTCTCAAAAGCATCCATGGTGGCCTCAAAGAAAATAATTACAATGACAAATGATTTGATAAAGACTTTTTACTTCAAGTATTTATGGAATTTTACCATCAAAAATAATACCTTTTTTGTAAATAGAAGGAATTAGAACTTCTCATAGTACTAGAATAAAGGAAAAAATAAAACCAACAAAGAAGGCTGCAAAGTCCTTCAATAGTCAAATAAGATGAAGTGCAAAACTACGATAGATGGACTGATTGAATCATATTTTAGACTGTTTTGGATGAGGAAATGAAAAATCAGCTGATCTAGAAACAGCCTGTTTAAGAGGTATTTTCAACAAAACACATTGGCCTATCTTGAACAATGAGAAATAAGATGGTGAATTAGATAACCTCCCCATTTATTTATCCTATTCAGGAATAGTAGAGGGATCATTAAGATTAGAAATACTAATGGTGACCAATATTTCAATGAATTTTGGCGATTTTTAAATGGAATTTTTCTTCTCTATCCGTGCAGTTTTTTTATTGTGAAAAGTTTGGAGAAGCGCACTTTCAATAAGCATGATTGTGAACCTTTTTACACGAATCGTCCTCGCTGTAGAAATGCCGAACAGCGAGGAGAAACTCAAAATCATCGAATGACGTCAATATACGCACTAAAGTATTACCTTTCTCCCTGCATGAAGTTTATCTGAAATTTTCAGTAACCATCTTAATTAACAAAGTTGATAAGCCAGATAGTCGGAAAATTTTTCGAAAAATAAAGGAATTATAAGCACTTCGAAAAAATTGTTTTGAAAAGGTTTTTTTTTTATTTTTTATTTAACCGGCTGCTTTTGATTTTATTAAATTTTTCTTTCGTACATTGGTGTTTAATAAACGAACAGTATAAAAAATCAATAAATAGAATAATCTAAATCTATATGGTAAGAGCCATAATGGCTCAGGGGATAGAGCGCTCGCCTTCCAATGAGGTAAACCGGATTCGAATGCCAGTGGTGGCTGATCGATACAAATTTCGCATCCAGCTTGCACAGATCACAATGCTGACGTAAAATAACCTCAGTCGTAGACGGATTATCTCTTAGAGTTCCTTTGCCGCCAGGCAAACCGTGGGAGGTTTTCGTGTTTGTCCTTTCCATGTAACGCAAATGCGGATTAGTTCCATCAAAAAGTCCTCCACGAAGGCAAATTTCTCTTAATACTTGATCCAGTAGTTCCCTAGTCTTCTTGATTCGGTTCAAAATTACAAGGCTACGGAGTCGAACATTAGTGGTCGTAAACCCAGAAATGGGAAGGCTGTTCAACGACGGTTATAAAACAAAATAAAATCGGTATGGTAGAGCTCAGGCGAGAAAGCGCTCGCCTCTCAATGAGGTGACCCGGGTTCGAATCCCAGCGATGATTTGTCGATACGAATTCCGCACTCAGCTCGCACTGACAACAGTGCTGACTTAATGCATCCTCAGTGGAGTAGACTCATCATGGGTCAGAGTCCCCTTGTCGTCAGGAAAACCTTGCCGAGAAGTTTTCGTGGTTTTTCTCTCCATGTAGCGCAAATGCGAGTTAGTATGAAAAAGTCCTATTAGAAGACTTGTTTGTCCCAATGCTTGATCCGAAAATTCTGGATTACGTTCAAAATTACAGTTGAAAGTTGATAGTCGTAAAAGCAGAATTGGGACGGCCGTTCAACGCCGGTTATAAAACAAAACAAAATCGGTACGCTACAAATATGAACCAGAAATTTAATAATTCATCGTTCTGTCTTGTACAAAATAAATTATTATAAAAAATGCATTTCGTCTTTTTTATTTTATTTAAGGAGAAAAAAACTTTGTAAGTTCGAAAAAAAAATATTTAAAAAAATTTTTAAATCGTGTTCCCATTAGTCGCAATTAATGTATGAAACTTTCTATGATTTTAAGAAACCTATTTTGAAGAAATATCATGATTTTTTTTTTCTTTTTTATCGTATCAAAGTAAAGTTTGTCGACCTAATTTAAAATGTTGTTTTGAGCTTGAATTCTATTTTTTGACGAAAATATGCTAATCGTGTTCTCACAGCAGCGTTCAATAACCTTCAAAGAGATAGTCAACAATAATTATCTGTTTTATTCATTAACGACTGATAACCTCGTATTAATTACATTTATTATCAATCAATACCATTAAACTTACTCAACATTACATCAAATATATGCTTCAAGTGGTAGATTCATGTACAAACTAACACTTCTTGGTAAAGATTTTACGCAACGTTTTAAACAATATGAATTTATTAATGACTCGTATTCAGATTAAAATGTATTTCATGGAAACTTTTTCATCGTTTTCTGTAAAATGGGTTTCAGCGGAATTGTAAACAAAATGTGTTTTAGCAGAATCCATTTCTTTTTTCTTTTAATTTTAACCTCTGCATTTCATTTATGCTTTCGGCATAATCAGGGTTGAAACGGGCGACTAAAAAATGCAAAAAATGCTAACTGATAAGATTCGAAAATTTATTAAAAGAAAATAAAAAGTAGCAACATTTTATGCATATATTTTCAGTTTGCTATTGAATGTGAATGGAAGAATGTATTTTTTAAATATGAATAATTTAAAATATAAGTCATTGTGGCAGTCATATACGATTGAAATAAAGATTATCATCAATAGTTAAATTTTTATATTTTTATTTTGATGTTATATTTATTTTTGAAATTANCAATCCCACGGACAATGCGACGGATTTAAGGTTATGTCAAGGTACGTCTCTTGTGAATATCAATTGATTGTTAGGTTTTCTCCTTTGAAATTACATTATGACGCATTCACATACATTATTAATACAAATACATTTTCCATGGCGAGACGATGAGGCAACCGCAACAACTGGTTCAAGAGATCCACGAGGGGAAAATGCACAATATTACCGTTATTATAGAGCACGGAAGCGAGCGGAGCAGGAAAAAGAGTCGTTGAATAGAACTAGTGATCCTTTCACGACTGCTGATTCTTCTACAATTAACGTCGCAGGTTACGAAGTTTAACTTCTTCCGCGTGGAGGGACTCCACGCACTATTTCTTTTTTAATTATTAAATATCATTGTTATATTTTCTACTCTTTATTTTTGTTAAAAATTTTATTTTTGTTTTATAAATTGTTACATTTTCTTTGTTATATATTTTATATTGTTAATATATTGTTATTAAATTTTCTAATTTTAAATATTCTTTTTTTAAATTTGTATTCTTTGTTTTCTCTATAAATTTTTTTCTTTGTTTTTTTATCTTATATTATGGGCTCTATGTACTTGTAGCTTATGTACAAAAAAAGTTATGTCTTGAATTCTATAAATATACATATTCTTTCTTTTGTTAGAATTATAAAAAATATATAATAAAGGCAGTCAATACAGAATACCCAGTATTAACTAAAATGTATTAGTTTTGGCACATTTTTTCTTATAAGTCAAGCGTTTTTAGTTGTTCTTTCTTTTCCCATTGCAATCTTTTCTGTTAAAGATTGCTATCTAGAGCCAAAAAAAGTATTTCAAAGAATACAACAACAACAACAAATAAGGTCTGTTGAATGTTTATCTACAAGATATGTATAAGAAAGCCACAACAAATTTGGGAAATCATAGAATCAATGAACTTTTTTAAAAGAAAAAGCAACAATTTTCTTCAATTACAGAGTATTTATTGTCTAATGTAGAAAATAATGCTAATGCATAATTATTTTTAAATAGGGAATCAATAAGAGAAAGTCTTAGCACTGAAAGAGCTAAAAAAAGGGGGATCTTATTTCAATTTCTACATTTAAAAATAAAAAAGACATAACAATGTGAAGAATGAAATAAAGAACTGCATTAAAAATAAATTATTTATTTACTTTGATTGCCTAAGAAATGTCATTGACAGTTCACACATACAACTGAAATGAAAAGATCTTTTGAGTATTTTTTAAGCAGTGAAAAAGCTAAACATAAGACTAGACAATAAAATGCAAATAACAGATAAAAAATACAACAGTATTTATTGACTACCACACATCAATAAGGCACTTTTTTGGCACAGGTGCACAATCATACAAAACAAGTGTAAAATAAAAAGCTGTTTTTTTTCAAAATATTTTCTGCCTCATTGATAAAATTTTATATGCAATAATCAAGCTATGTATGTGACACCCCACTTTGAAAATTAATGAATATTAACAATGCATGTGCAGCATTGTTAATATTCATTAATTTTCAACAGCATTGTTAAGTATAATTAATAAACAATGGACTTAGGGGTGGGAGAAGTAATCTCTAACACAGATGTCATGTACTATTGTAATCTTGACAAATTAAAAAATATAATAAATTAGTCAAAATCATTGTATTATTTTTTTCATTTGTTCATAACCTTAACAAGTTAGTAAATATTTTTCGTCAAAACAATGATTCAAGGATTTTCAGGGTTTTTTTTTTTTTCTAGATATTTTCAGAAAAGGTAGTATTTTTTTAATATATATATAAAAGAAGAAAAAAAAGAGGTACATAAATTTTATGGGTTTCTTTAAATTTATAAAGTTAAGTATTATGTAAAAAGTATTTAACTTTTTTCTGAAAACATTAGTCTTAAAATAGTTTTTAAAAAAATATTAAGTTTGAATGAGGGGTGTTACAATTTTCTAATGTTACCTCTATAGTAAACTCAAACTTATAAAAAAAAAAGCCTAACTTTTTCAATATTGGTTTAAAGCTTTAATTGAAATTGTGTAGTTTTAAAAAACACCAACCAGAAATATGTAAAAAATTACATTATCAGAAGCATACTGTAAAATAAAACATATAAGAAATATTACACAAAAGACGATTGAAATAGGTAACAAAGAATGAGATCTTCATTTTACAGAAAAATAATAATCGCAATTGCAAATAAATATATTAGAAGAAATTATTCCAATGGAAAATATGTTAATATCTATAAAACAATAAAATTATAATCTTCTGCTAAATGTACACAATCAGCAATTATAAATTCAATTTGTTAGATTTACAAAATCCTGGATATGTATATTCATGCTAAAACTACATATCTTCAAAGTCCTATCCAACAAGGAATGGAAACAGAAATCATACTAGATACTGCTTTTATAAATAACAGGAAAAAACAACAAACCATGCAAAACAAATTAATGAAAGGATTTTAAAAAACAAAACTGGAAAATAAAATGCACAAAGATTTTATTTGCAAAATAAAAGTAATAATCAATAAAATCGGAGGTGCTAAATTTAAACTATATATTTTAATCAAGAAAAGCATACTAAAATGTCTGCTAGTAAAATGTTTTCTCCACCCCTCCCCCCCCTAAAAGCATACTAAAATGTCTGCTAGTAAAATGTTTTCTCCCCCCCCCCCCCCCCCCCAAAAAAAACTCTCAAAATTTGCTTATTTGTTAAACTTACAAATCAGTCCTCCAGTCACAACTTTTGAAATCACTATGTCATCCATATCTTAATAGTATTGTAATAAGTAAAACCACAATGTTAAAAAAAACTACCAACAATTAGAAATTATTCAGAGACAAAAAATTCCAAAAGGAGAAAACTAATAAAAAAAATCAAACTAAAATTCAATGATTTTTGTTTTGAGTATGCAAAACAAAAAAAGCTATATAATAGCGGTAGAATTAAGGCAGTTCTATGAAAAGGTGGAAAGACAGAATTACTTTTTAAGTGAATACTTTTTATTTAAAAAGTGATTTAAGAAAAATCATAAAACAGTCAAAACTCAATATCACAAACTCGAAGGAAGAAAATAAAAATGTCACGATATCAAAAATTCGGGTAATCGAAAAATCTTAACATTTTTAATATTTTAGTCAAAATGATAACTACCTATGTTAGCATTTAAAGAATTACCTAGTGGAAAGTACCATATCCAGAATCTTAAGAACTTCAGCAAGTCCGGAAAATAAATTTTTCTTGTAAATGGTCTTTAAGGTAGAAAAACATCAAAACATGCATCATTCATTAAAAAATAATGTACAAACGATAAGTAATGCCTATTTCATACAACACTTTCTTATTGATTAAATGATATTTAATTAACTAAATAATGTTTAGTAGGGTAAACCAACCAGTGAAGGAACATTTCATATATATTGATTAAAAATAAGAATTTGAAAGTTTTTTTTCAGATTGATTGGTAAGACTAGCTTACTGCCAAACAATAGGAAGTCATCTAGAAATGTTTTGGATTACCTGATCACATAGATTTCTCTGGAAAAATTTTTAAATTTGTTATTATCTCTGTAACACCTTGTTTCTTTGAAAAAATTACAAGGTGAGTGAATGTATTTATATGTTTGAAGTGGAATTAATTGCATGTAATAGTTTTATTTTTCTCACTGTGAAAATAAGAATTCAAAATATAGTTACGTTTTATATTTTTTAAGCATCATAGCATAATCAAGTACTGAGATAAGGGGGCGTTTATTCACTGGATCACCAAACAATGAAAATCCAGTAAAGGAACAAGTGTTCCTTTACTGGGTTTTTTCCTAAGTTTACTTGGTGTTCATTCACTGGTAAGAGCTGCTCCTTCACTTTGTCTTCTTACTACTTGTTATTTGAACCTCCAATACTTTAAAACAATATTATATAAGTTCTCTACAATTTTTCTACATAATTTGCAATTAGTAACAAATATGCTGACACTGTCATTTAACTAAAATTACGAATTTTGAAATTAATATGATTTTTTAAAAGGCAAACGAAGCTAAAATGTTCCTTCACTGGTTAATTTACCCTATGATAAAATATATACTTGAAAAAGTGAGCATACGATAATTTGAACTTTTTCTCATGAATAAAAATATGATTTTCTCCTTTTTTTCCCATTTAGTGTGAAAGGTAATCTAATAAAAGTAACATTAAAAAACAAGCTTCAAATTCCAAAAGTATATTAATCTGATTTAATAAAAAATAATCTAAGAAAAAGAGACAGAACTTGGTAGATTTTTTCCATGAAAATATCTGTAACTTTCAGTGAAACAATGCTTGTCTGCTTGTTCCTTTAAAACACTATTTATATTCAGGTTGATTAATATTCATTGTTTATTCTTCTACAAAATTTGGTTTCCTTCAACTGCTCTCGTCTTTTCAACAAGTATTTTAATCTGTTAAGGCAGATTAAATGTTTAAGTATCAGATAGTACATTTTTTTTTATAAAAGCTTCGTGAAAAGTTGCAAAAATGAGGTGCAAGAAATTATTTCAAATTCTTTAGGCCCCCCAAGAAAAATGTTTGACTAAAAGATTTTTTTTTATTCTCAGCATAGCAAATGCATAGGGAATTCAGTTTCATTTATTTTATTTTATTTATTTATTTTTTGCGATATCAAAATATTCGTGTCATCAAAGTTCGAGATACCAAGGTTCAAATGTATTAATTTTAAAACAAATGTTTGCATGAGCTGTTTCAAACACCAAATAAATCACATGATAAGAAATATTATAGCTCCGTTTATGCGAATGTTTAGTTAATACTTATTTAATACGGAATTAAAAAGAGAATTTTTAGCTTGGTTACATTTGCGTAAAAACAAAAATTATTCATATAATTAAAAAACTAACAAAAGATGGCTTAAGATAAAGAGACAACACTATTTAATAAACTAAGCATTATGACAAATAAATAAGGAAAACAAACTCCAAAAACAGCTTTACACACAAATCAAATAAACAAATTATTGCAACAATTCAACTTCTCTTATCGACATTTGCACTTTTAAAAATATACAGTCAAAACCTAGCTAAAACATTAATTAGAAAAAATATTTCTTTGTTCAGGCTAATTAGGCAACTTTTAAAAATCTGCCTCAAACGTATTTTGTTTTTTACTGTAATTAGTGTGGGGAGAAAGTTGGGAGTTGTATTGTCAATCAAGTTTACCCAGAATTTGACTGTAAATTCAAATCGAGCAGATTTATGACCGTGCAATTCTTAGATACAACCATGCAACAATAATTGGTCTGTTTTAAAAATTAAAAAAAATTAAGTTAATTATATTTAATTTTTTTTAAAATTAAAGAAAATATTAAGTAAAAAGAATAATAATACCAAAAAAAAAATATTTTAAAAGAATATAAAACGAGACTGGAAAAGGAATATTTAGTTCTAGTAATATTTGGGGTTTTTTTTAAACATTGTCTTTTAAAAAATCAAATTTTACATACAAGTTTTATTTTTAACAAAAATATTACTAAACTAATAGATCATTCATAAAATGCATTTGATACTAAAAGCGAAAATGTAGGGGGTGACACTTTTTCAAGTAAATAACTTCCTTTTTTAAGTTAAAAGTTAATTTAGAAACTAATACATATGAATGCAATTTAATGACACATTTCACTTTTCTAAGCAAAAGTTTATAAAATTTCCAGAAATCTCAGTCAATACATTTAAGTATTAATAACTTAATTATACTTGAAACAATGAAGAACTTATTTTTAAGAATGCTTCTTAAATGTTCAAACATACACACGATGATGCTCATCATTATTATTTATGACTAACTAAAAGATTTATTTTGTGAATAAGGCCAGACTACGACATTTTTGCACTTTTAAGGATACTTTTACACTTTTATGGTCACTTTTTGCATTTTTTAAGAGCATTTATAGAGATTTTTTAAGTCATCAAAATATAGATTGTAAGACATACACAAAATGAAGCAAATTTAATATTTCAACATAGGGATAAACTGTTAACGGAGACAGATTATAGAAGGAAAAAAAAAAGAATTCTTTACAGGCAATGAGAAAGACAAAAGTAATATCTTTTAAAATGTTTCATTTAAAAAAAATATTTTTCATACAGAAAAAGGGTTTTATTGTCACTAGATGATTTCAATATTATAAAAATTGTATTTAGACACATTGCACTATTACAAGTACTATTATAATATGTTTTATTAACATTGAATGATAATATATCACTTCATTGAACATATTTGTACATAGAACAAGTTTTGAAAATAAAATTATATGCATGTAAAAGCTAACACATGTCTGAAAAAACCTTCATGTGCTGACATGTGTTTGAAAAAATTATCTTCTAGAACATAAAACAATTAAATTATTTCAGAAAAAAATTGCAAAAATATAAATATTACAACAGTAATGCAAGTGAAAATTTTTACAGATTCTTGTAAATACAAGAAACAAAATTGTTGCGAAAATTCATTATCAAATAACATTAAATTTTTTCAAGGAGTATATCAGAACTTTTGTCATTTTCTTAAACAAAAACAACTTTAAGACATAGAATCAGAAACTTCTATCAAGACAGTGATTTAAAAAATTTATGCAATTTACTGTTCTCTTCAAAAAGGCTTCTGACGAGGACGACTTGAACGGCACCAACAACCATCATCACAATAATTATTAAAATTGAGAAATGATTCACCCTTGTAAAATTGTGCTCTTGCAAATTTCTATCTCGAGATTCTATGGCTTTCAACTGATCTTGATGATGCTTGACTTCATTTAAGTATTCTTTCACTTTTGCAATGGATATCTGTAAATAAGATTCTATAATTAACACCTTATAAACATATATAGAGAACAAAATTAAGAAACTGTGGAAGGAAAAGAAATCAATTAGAAAAAAGAAAGAAATTTGGTTCTATTACGCTCATTATTAAAATGATTCATAATACCTATTTCCAGCAATCATGATTTTCATTCATTACTCTAAATCAGTGTTTCTCAACGGGGGCGTTGGGAGTATGCTGCGGGGCGGTGTACTTGTTTTGGGCGGCAGGGGGCGTTAGGTATGTTTTGGGCGGCAGGGGGGCGTTAGGTATGTTTTGGGCGGTAGGGGGCGATGAGCATGTTATGTTATTCAAATTTAATTTTAATACTCTCAAATAAAATTAAGAATCATTTAGTAAATAAAATTAATCTAAAATTAATGATAAAGAAAACAAAGATTAATATAATAAATTTAGATTATCTGATACAACATTAGTACCAGCAGTAAAACGAACTGATGCAATACATATTGTCCGATCCGAATCAGCACAGCGCATAGGCAATTACTGTAAATATCTCTGTTCAAGTTTGTATTTTCTCTAATCATGGTAATATTATTGCAAAGCTACCACAACGACTGCTTATATTCAAAATGTTTCTAACTCATTGTTGTAATTTCATGATGAATGGGATAGGGGCCGCTGCGCGGCCCAGGTGCCCAGTTGCTTTTAAATAAAGTAAGTAAGTAAGCACAGCGCATGAGTCAGTAGTTTTTGCCTCTGACTCATTTCAGCCATTTGGTGAGAATTAAAGTGCATGCGCTTTTTGTAAAAATGTTCGATTTGACCCGTGTTTCTTATGATGGTTTAGTTTGCTTCCTAGCAGTGTTTTACCCAGTTTCGATTCGATTTCAGTGTTTATTTGGCCAGGTACGTTTGTGAATTAGTTCTTAATCGTAAATTATTTATTAATTTGAAAAAACACTTGATTTTCTTTTTCTGCCACCAACAATGTCGGTTAACATAAAGAAGTGTATTCAATACAGTGTCACGTACTTGAAGTTTAGATTTGTTCAATCGCCCTCGAACTCTCAACTACCCATGAATTTATTTTATAACAAAGTTTAATATAATGAGACAATGGAGCCTTCTCGTTAGCAGAAGCATTTGCAAAATATTCATCCTCACAAACAAAATAAAGATTTGTCATTTTTCACGAATATCAAAGACAAGTTTCTGAAGGCACCTTTGGCCTCAGGCTTACTGACAACCTAATCACAAAAATGCGATGATGGTTTGATAAGTTCTTATAATAAATCAAAATTAATTGCTAAATCTGGGAAATGTCATACCATCGGCAAAGAATTGATACTGCCGTCTGTTAAGGAAGTTTTAGGAACAGTTTTACACTATCCAGCCTCATCCGATTTAATCAAAAATATCCCTTGCAATAGTGGGTCGACATGGTGGGTTTTTCGCCATTTTGAAGAGGGTGGTACCAGATATTTTAGCAGTTCACTGCGTGATTCACAGACAGTATTTAATAAGAAAAAACCTCAGTGACCGTTTGCATCAGTCATTGCAATATGTCATATCAGCTGTGAACAAAATTCGCAGTAATGTTCTCGATGATTGATTACTCAGACAGCTGTTTAAGAAAAACTATGAAGAATATCGCTTGCTACTACACCGTGATTCGCTGGCTTTCCAAAGGAGCCTTGTCTCAATAGGTTCTTGAATCTTTTCGACTCTGTGCTTGAGTTCCTCGAAGACAGAATGTAGCTCTGAGAGACAGATTGCTAGAATTTAAGATAGATGTTGGTGGATTTACTTGCAAAATTAAATGGTGTTAATTTACAACTTCAAAGTGACAAACTCAATTTGTTCCCTATGAAATCAGTTATTTCTATACTTCAAAAAAAAAAATTATTTTTTGGTAGCAGAAATTTGGTTGGAATGAGTTCAACCAATTTCAAATATTATCGTATCTTGAAAAGAATGGCGAAATTTCCTCTGATGATACACAAGAATTGCCTCTACTCTGGACTGTCAAAATTTATTCTTATTTTCAAAATTATTTTCAATTTCCTTCCCTTTCTCCTACTTCGTCGAACGTGGATTCAGTGCTGTTATGGATCAAGTTACAAAAAAGAGAAATAGACACGAAATCATGCAACGAGGGGACTTGCGTCTTCACCTCAGCAAAAATATTGAGCCGAACGTTAAGAAATTGGCTATGAACCATCAAGTACAATCATTCCACTGACATAGTAACTTGATTGTTTCGTTGATACTACTTTTATTTTTGGGTGTTTTTTCAATTATCTAATTAAGAACAGGTGACTCTTTTTAAGTATAATTTTCTTTGTTGTACTATTTTTTTCATTACCGTATTTATTTTTATTATGACAAATAAACTGTGATTACCTGCCTGGAGAAAATTATCGAGTTAACGTACACATTAAATTTTTAAAGAAAAACAAGCAAATTTAACGTTTAAAAAATTGCCTAAAAATGCACCTTATAATTCAGCACACCCCCTCCGTCCTCATGCTCTAAATAACTGGATCATCACAAAGGGGGCGTTGATATGTATTTTGCTTATTAAGGGGGCGGCAACGTTAAAAAGGTTGAGAATCTATGCTCTAAATTCAATTGAGTTATTTTAATTAAAAGAAATAAAACTGAAAAATTAAAGTGAAAATTCATGTTCATGATTTTATTTGAATGAAAAACTTCTGAGATGTAACTAATATGCTAAATATTGCTTTTTCATAATTTGAGATTTTCAGAGATCAACATATTTTTACATCTACGTGTTAAAAACTTTATAGCTACTGCATGTATTTTATTTACGTATGAATATTGTTTACACATGTGCATTGCATTCGTTTTCAAATTTTGTTCACCAAAAATAAAAGATATATAAAACTAAATTCACTAAAAAGAAAAATTTTATAAAACATTGAATCATTACAAATAAAATTAAAAACTTAAATAAATAATAGAAATTGTATCCTTTTTACAAACGATATTTTATTCTACTAATTTTTAATGAAAAGTGTGCACTTAAATGCTTATATTTTTAAGTTAAATAACTTAGGGGGAAAAAAAAGAAAAGAAAAAAAAGAAGAAAAAAACAGATTTTGATCAGTGTTACATGTTCCTTCCTCACTGGCTCGACAGCCCAGGATGGGCCTTGGCCTTCTCCAGTAGTTTTTTCCAAGNGAGACATGGACAAGAATGCTTGTACACTTTACTAAAGTATAACTACATTTAGTTAATAATAATTTTTTGTTTAATCTAACAAAATAAGTATCTTTCAAGCTGCTTTCTGTATTTTCCATTTCAAAGATGGGTTTCAAAATGTACACATTTCTGCAAAGATCCCCCTTCTTCTCTTAATAATAAATATTTTGAGTCACCTTCTTTTTCTTTAATATAAAAGTAGTGTAAGCTTTTGTATAATTGTTTCACATCTACTGTAAACATTATAATTGATTATAGGAAACTATATCAAATGTTGCCCCCTACACATGGGATAATTATTGACCACTGGGGTAATTCCTGATCATTGTCATTTCTTCTTATAAATAGTATATAAAATAGCTTATAAATATCTAATTGTCTTTTCTTAAATAACAGTTCATATTTATTAAGTGGAGCAACTATAAAGTATATTTTAATTGTCATCACAAAATTTGTTTTTAACCGTATACAAGACTATATTCTGATTTGCACCATTTCTGGTTTGTCTGACCTTGCTTCTATCTTAATTTTATGTGTATACATCCTTAGAATAATTTTTAAGTTTATGAATTAGCCTAGTATAATTGTCAGAATAATTTTTAAGTTCATAAATTAGCCTATTATAAATATGGTGAGAAATTATAAGCCTAAAAAGGATACTAAGCTTCTAGAAAACAAAATTAGTGAATTTCTTTTAATGATTGAAAATGAAAATTTCAGTGTGAGAGCTGCTGCCATAGCTGTTGGCATACCTTACTTAGCTTTACACTTTCCCTTAAAGAAGTTAAAAAATCCAGCAAAAGTAACCCATGTGGGAACTCTCTTATATTTCAGAAGAGCATGAGAATGAGTAGGCTGATTGCCTAAAATGTATGGCACGATGCAAAGATTTTTGAAAATTTGAAGTGTTAATCGTTCTTCTTGCTTTTAAATAAATCATTTTATTAGCTGCTTAAACATATCTTTTTGGTTTATTTGTTTGATCTTGATGTCTTATTTGTTAATTACCATTATATAATTATTTTTCAACAGCCCCTTTACAATAAAAACTGGTGATCAGTAATAACCCCAGAAGTGATAAGGAATTACCCCCAGAAATGATCAAGACCAGGGGAAATTCCTGATCACTAAAAATTTAAAATCTTTTAAATTCTAATTAGATTTTCAAACAAAAGAAGGTGGCATTGGATTCATCTCATATAGCCTCAAACTTCCAGTAAATATTAAAATTCTATTTTGAATAGTTTTTTTTCAAAATAGATGTTTGCGTTTTTTGATCAGGAATTACCCCAGGTCANCAATGTAATTAATATAAATGACTACTTTGTTTTATAAGACCATGCTTTATTTAATCTTATTAAACCATTTTTAAGACACTTGGATAAAAAATATTTTCACTGTGCACAAGAATATTAAAGGTTAACTACATTATAATGATGCTTTTAATTCAGCAAAAGAATTATTTTTCTGCAATAATAAAAGAATGCAATAAGCACAAATGGAAGAGGTTAAAAGGAAACAACTACTTTGATACTGCAAAAAAATACATATATATATCATTATCAAAACATACAGAATAATATTTGAAACTTTTCATCAAGCTTCTTTGGAGTGAGGGTGACATACTTGTTTATAATATCAAAACAGCAAAATGTATCATTCTCTTTTCATTTGCAGGCATTATTATTTTCGGTTCCTTAAAGTTTTTGAACATTGTATCTGATTTTCCACTTCCTTTCTTTTCGGGTATTATTGCTAATTTTAGTTCGATTGCAGCCGTTAGTAGAAAATGATTTGATGCAACAATTGCTGCTTTTTTACACTCTTACATCCTGTAGAGATTGTTTAAATAAACCGTTAACATCTATGTGATCCATTTGGTTCTTTGCTTTCTCGTCAGGAATATCCATTATCTTTTGTATTTTTTGTTTCTGTTTGAAATAGCTGCTTCCAATAATGAGGTTATTCAGTTAATAAAAGGATGTGAAAAGTTCACCATTTTCTTTTTGTTCTACACTTGCTTAAAATACAATTGAAAATTCATCATCAGATGTTCGGTTTCCGCCTTTTGCATTCACATCTCCCATTAAAATTAGAAGATTTTGTTTAGGGACTAAGTCTTATATTTTTTCGTAGCTGATCATAGAACTGTTCTTATTACAGATCAGCATCATTAGTTGGTGCGTACACCTGTATAATTATTACCTTTGTGTAATTGGAGTAGAAGTTGGCTCTTATGATTTGGCAGTCTACCAATTTCCAGTTCAAAAGAACGTTAAAATCTTTGAACTCCATCAATGAGGGCTGATATCAAGAGCCTCAGCAGATTAAAAAGTTCCATCTTGAAATTTTATCCAGAAAGCTGATTACATCTGATGAAGGTCGGTGACAAACGTCAAAAAGTAACTTAAAAGAATGATGATAAATGCAATACAATAACAGTTCTAAATACAAAACAATGAAACAAGCAGAAATTAGTAGGAATGATAGATCCATTTAAATTCATCTTAAATGGCATAATGTTGATGCCAACACAGTTTAACAAAATGTAAATTAATATGATTGTTTCTGATTTAAAAATATGTGCAAATTCTAGTCTGACATAAAAAGACGAAGTATAATGCTGCTTTTATAACTCCACTCCCCACTTCAAAATCAAATAAATCAGATTTTTTGATCATTTATCAAAATTAGCTTTTTTTTATTACTTAAAAAAATTATTTCTATTTATTTATTTTTACATTTTTTAAGGTCTAATAAAATGTATTAATAATACTAAACTTCATTAAAAAACAATACAGCTAAAATATTTTATGTTTTCAACTAAAAGGGATAAAATGCCCATGAAATAAAAAGGAAATCATAATAATTTTATTCAAGCTCATCACCCACATGAATTAACATTAAATTTCATTATTTATAAATGCACTACGTATTTAAAAAGTTTTATAAGCACCCATATTTAAATAGATTTAAAACTAAATGCATATAATGGAAACATACTTATTATTATAAACAAATTATTAGAAATTCAGTTGCCGAAAATAGATTATGGAAAAAATAATTTGTTATTTAAACGTTAAGTAACTTTAATCTACATTTACTTTAATTATTATTCCATTTTGAACATCAAATAAAAATTTACATCTCCCTTTCATTATTTCTCTAGATAAAACTTTCATGATCAATAAAATCAGACTTTAAAAAAATCACATAATTAAGAATATACTCATAAATTAGTTTGTGTAAAAATATTTTCTTGGCTTAAATTATTACTTTAAGAGAATCATTTTAAATTATGCCATTTTTTATAGTTTGACCAGGCATTTCAACCTAACGAAGTTACATTTATTTATATGGATGATTTTTTACATAAAATGATCAAAAGTAATTACCTTTATTTGATCCATTGTGTCATTGTAGAGCAATTCAGGAGAAAAGTCATAATCATCCCACTGATCATCATCTGCAGATTCATTGTCAATATAAACATCAAAGTAAACAGTTTTCACTGACAGAAGACTGTGTCGATTATCAAAACAAAACTTATAATCACCAGCTTCCTTCACTTCATGCCTTAAAATATAACAGTATTAGATTTTTAGATATCTTACATCAAAAGGGAAGGGGAAAATCGATTCATATTAAGAAATGAAAATTAATCTTAAATTTATAACTAGTATCTCAGTTAAAAACAACTGACAAAAAAGATGTGGTTTTTCTAATGGTTTCTAGTTTTATTTACTACTAACAATATAAATATTGTATTATAATTTTTTTTTCACAAAAAGACAGCTAAGTTAAAAAATAAAAAAAATTTGCAGTATAAACCAAATCATCCTCTAATTTAGAGTAATACTGCCAATTCTTCAAATTTTTAATATATAAAGCAATCAGAAATATATGTATTTACAGTAAAAATCCCTTNCTTAAATTTATAACTAGTATCTCATTTAAAAACAACTGACAAAAAAGATGTGGTTTTTCGAATGGTTTCTAGTTTTATTTACAACTAACAATATAAATATTGTATTATAATTTTTTTTTCACAAAAAGACAGCTAAGTTAAAAAAAAAAAAAATTGCAGTATATACCAAATCATCCTCTAATTTAGAGTAATACTGCCAATTCTTCTAATTTTGAATACATAAAGCAATCAGAAATATATGTATTTACAATAAAAATCCTTTTATAAATTCATCTAAAAAGCAACAATACTAATGTGAGGTTTTCACAAACAAAAACCATTTCTTTACTATTTTGCAATCATAATTCCAAAAATGAGAATTATTGTCATTTCAGTTTCAATTAGATACTTGATACTTGCAAGCGACATCACACATCAGTTAACTAATCAGGTTCGAGACAAACGTGCAATGTGGCTTGCAGGCATCCAATTAAATCTGATTGAAAAATTGGTTCAACATAATAATAAAACTGAACAGTGGAGTTGTAATGTTAACACGCCATGAATGACAACACAATTAGACACAACCATGTGATTAGTTACAAGTACACAATTATTAGTTATTGCATTAAATTGTTGCATTAACTACTCAGAAAGAAATAGGTTTCTCCCAACCTAAGTAGAAGAAACTGTTTTTGCCAAGAGAAAAATCAAATATAACAGTATATAATTTCAATCTTGTTTTAATAGTAGTATTAATTTCCAAGCTATTTAATACATCATTAAGCAAGTTAAAACTAACAAAGCAATTGGAAAGAAAAATAAATAAATGAAAATCTGAATTTAAAATAATTGTACTCAAATGAATTACACAAATGTGTATTAATATAATAAAATCTAATTTTATGATTAAATAAATAAATGTTTAAAATACAATAAAATTTTATTAATACTATTACATTAACAAATCACATACTATACACATCACTTATTAAATTCACCATTTCAAATAACACAATAATTTTTATAATTAATTACTGTTATGAATGAATACTCGAATTGTATTGTATAATATTGCATGAATAGAATAACAAACAAGATCACATATATTATTTTATTATAAAAGAAAATTCCCTAATATGAGTGAGTCCTGCTAAAAACATGAACTGTATTTAAGTTTTACTTCAAAAATACATGAACATAAAAAATTACGAGTCACAATACTTGCTAATGCTCCATTTCAAAAATCAAAATTACCTGTGATTAGCGTCTGATTTCTTATAATCAGAAATGAGTTCCTTCCCTTGAGGTGAAAATAGCTGAAAGTTGATATCTAACTCCTGGTTGACATTCATGTCACTAAATATTGAATCAATCACCTACAGATACAAAACAACTTTAAGAATTATAACAGACAGATAAAATAAATAAGTTTAATTGATGAACAATAAGTAACAAAAAAAATTATTATACTAGTTTCATGAAAAAAGACAAAATTTAATTGTTATTAGAGAGGTCTATAAAAGAAAATATAATTAAGTTTATGAATTATACGAATTTGAATGACATAACTAATGGGACTTTAGTCAGTGTTTTCACTACAGGGTGAGAACGCGAGAATCTCGCATATTTTTTTCTTTTCTCGCATTAAAAAATGATTACCGCGAGAAATTCGCGCATTCTATAAATCAATTTCAAAATTCGCCAATTTCTCGCATTTTGGAAAAAGCTTCGAATTACGCCATTTAGAATAAAATCCGTTTCACTTTTCTTCCTGGATCTTTCATTATTTTCAACATCTGCACCATTATCTAGCCTCCCTATTTACCAGTATTGTTCAGAAACTTTTCGAACAACCGAACACAACCACGGAACCCCTTTCAGAACACATTTCTCTGTAACCACATGTTTACCGTAGGTAAGGTTTCTTCATGTAAGACATTCAAATTTTTTATGCACTTATGTAAGATGTACAAATACCTTGTAAAGGCAAAATCTTCTATGATGATGCACCAAAAATATTCAATGCTAATAGAAGAAGTTAAAAATGTATTATAATTAAAGAAATGATTTTTTTTTCAAGAGTTTTTGTGTTTTTTTAGTTNTTTTTTTTTAGTTTTTAGATATCTCACTTAACTTTTTGAAATCTCACCCTGTTTTTGAGAAAGGGTTAGAAATTCTCACTCATTTTTTTTCTATGATGAAAACACTGTTAGTGGAAATCAATACAAACTAGATTTTGAAATATATAACATTGCCAAGTATATATCATGATAGATATTAAACATCAATACTAATTTGCTAAGATTACTGACACTAGAAGTTTGAACAAAAAAAATGTCTTATCTATAGAAAAGTGAGGTATTAGTAGGTAATTAAGATTCAAAAGTCAATTGGAGGGAAACTGTTTAATTTAGAAACATTCAGATCTAATCAAAATATTCATTGTTTAGTTGTATACAATGTATCATTCTTGAAAAGTCATTGATGTACTGCTTTTTTTATAAAAGATTTTTTTTTTCAAGAAAAACTTATATCACCTGGTCTTATACCACTAGTAAGGTAAAACTGGGTATACACAAGTTACCTCTGTAGGAAATTTAGAAATACTAGAATTTTAGTGGAAAAGAAGAAGACATTTCTATTTTATATGACAATTTTAAAAAAATTAAACATGTAACTAACATAGTTGAGGCCGTACTTAAGAAGGGAATGGTCTTTGGCTTGCGTTCCAGGAACAAAATTTCTTACAGAATATATCATGCTTATTAAATGGGGTTTTTCTTAAACAAAATTGCTGACAATTTATTTTTATCGATAAATGAACTATGATTTAGTATAAGGGGAAAATTCTACAAAATATGATACTGGCAGTGCCCCCCCTCCCAAGCTTTAAGTGGGCGCATCGTTCTCCCCTGATGGGGCCCTCTGGATACTGGGGCACTTCCTACCTGTGAAACCTTTGTTCAACTTGGATGTAGTTGTCGTCTTTCAACTCAAGAAAACAGGTTATCAGAACGAAAGTATTACATGAAGACTTTTGATTGTAGATTATAAAATGAACTTTCTGGAAACAATTTATATTATTTTGTTGTTACCCATCCCCCTAGTGTAGGAACACCTACACCAGGTCCAAAAGACCTTGATGCCTGTTCAATCTCCTATTCAATTAACAGCTGCCTCCAGGAGGTGCCTAAACAATTAAGAAGGTGAGCAGGACTAGAGGGAAGAAAACAGAAGAATAAATATTTTTCCCATTCTGAAATTAAATGCATTTTAAGTGACCAATTTTAAATCAGGTCGATTGAGGCAGCTCCATAACAGAGACAGGGGCGGAACCTTAGCAAGCGTACCAGTAATGAATAGGTGGGAAACAATTTATTGACTCTTGTGGCTAGTTTCAACACTTTCGCTCTTACCTTATTTAACGAGATTTGTTCGCAAGCTCACAGAATTTTTTTAAAAAAATAGTTTTATTTTTAAAAAAACTCTAAATTGATTGTTACACATACCAGCACATGTTATTTAAATTTATCAGTTTTTTTTTCTTTAGAAAAATATTAAATACTAGAGAAGAAAAATTACTTTGTTTTTGGAAAATGATAATTGCGCGTAAAATTAAAACGACCCATGTATTAGATTTAAAACAGGAATGTAAGAGGATAAAAAAATTAAAAAAATTGCGACACGTTTTCGCTTTTTTTTAATAATTATAAGGTATGTTTTTTATCTTTGAAATATTACACATCACATGAAGAAAAAAAAAAGCTTAATAACCCGGTGTGGAAAAAAATTCTTTTAACGCAGTGAATACATATTAGATTACTAACCTGATACTCAATTTCCAAAATATCCTGCGGTTTTGCTCTTTGATAAAAACAATCAACAAAACCAGGGCGAACATTAATCGTCATTTCACTCTCTACACCATCAAAAGACTTCTTTTGGGCAATGATTAGAGGCAAAAATAATACATAACAAACAATTTTAACGAACAGTTCCATTTTCATTAGATTACTGAGATTTTCAGAGACACCTTTAAATTTTGTAAGCAAAGGAAACAATCGTGACTTCTCAAGTATTTGCTGTATCAACAATTAAGAAATTTTAATCATACTACTTTCCTTCTTTCTTCTTTTATCAATAACATTTATCCGATATAAACAAACTTTTATTTGCAGTATTATGAAGTTTAAGTGAAAGTTAATATTTCCTTTAGTATGATTTTTTTTAAATGCCATGTTTTTGCCAACCTATAGAATATTTTTGAAACTTTGGTTGGCCAAATATCGGATTAAAGGAAATTTACCGTTTCATGTTAAATTTAGGAGAGCACAAGAAAAATTTGAATTCGAAAAATAATTAATTGGAGAACAAAAAGAATGTGTTTTAAAATCCACAGTCCATTACATTTGCGTTAAGCATTGGCTTATGTATATTTTCTGAACTGGTATTTATTTAAGTCGCACCTTTCGCGTGTCGGTCGTTAGGCTACCGAAGCGGGGGTGTCATCCCCCTTGCAGAGGATCGAAATTGTGATGGCATGTCTTCGGATCATCCTCAGGGATGCTTCCCAGACCGTCGCCAATAGCCCATTGTGCAGCTCTAGTGCGACGTAAATGAACTACAACAACAACAACAATTCGCACTAGAGCTGCACAATGGGCTATTGGCGGTGGTCTAGGAAATATCCCTGAGAAGGATCCGAAGGCATACCATCACAATTTTTATCTTCTGCAGAGGGCATGGTTACCCTGCTCTTGTAGCCCTACGACATGTGCGTGAAGTCAAGCACTTCGCGGAAGAACAGTTTAACGAGGACTGGTACCGAGCACCCACGGTCCCTACGCAAGTTCATCAAAGTGATCACCCACCCGCTTACTGACCACAGCCAATGATACTTGACTTCGGTGTTCTGCAGGGAACCATGTCCTTACGGTCAGTCTACTGTGGGATATTTTCCGAATGGATGGTTGACCGTGTAAAGCTAAGAGAAAATTCGACATAAGACTTCTGGGTTATTACTTCTGACTGATTTTTACGCCTAAACTTGAGAAAACGCACCGTCCAATATTATTATACTTGTAGTGTTTTCAATATTAAGTGGTTTTTCAATCTATCTTTCAACAAAGCAAACAACAAATGAATTTGGAAGATCCCGCCATCTTGCAATGATGCTTCCTCCTATTTTTCCAAGTCACGTTTTTCCTTCAAAGAGTGTCATAAATAAAATTTCCTTTTTATGTGACTCACACGCCGTTGAAACATTTTTACTTTTTCTTTATTATTGAAGAGATCCTAAATCCTTTGTGATTGTAGAGAAAAGAAGTTACTCTCTGTTAATAAATCTTAAAACCAAAAACTTTACAGTCTTTGATTGCCACATTAAGAGTAGAAAAATTGCGCTAAAATTAGGACTACCCTCCACAAATGGAGTACAGTAATGGCACATCATTTTTCGGAACTATTTTGGCTTGACCACAGTGCTGACATGAAATGTCATCAGTGGTAGACGGATCATGGGTTAGAGTCTCCTTGCCGTCAGGCTAACCGTGGGAGATTCTCGTGCTCTTCCTCTCCGTGTAACGCAAATGCGGGTAAGCTCCATCAAAAAGTCCTCCACGAAGGCAAATTTCTCCGAATACTCGATCCAGGAGTTCCCTTGTCTTCTGGATTGGGTTCAAAATTACAAGGCTACAGTGTTGCACATTAGTTGTCGTAAACCCATAAAATTGGGTTGGCTGTTCAACGACGGTTATAAAATAAAATATATTAATAGCACGGGCTGGGATAGCCTGGTTGGTAGGGCACTGGACCCTTGTCCAAGAGTTCGTGGGTTCGATCCCAGGCCGGCAGAGGACTCACCGTGTAGTAAATGGTGACTGACGCATGTTAAATCAGTCTAGTCGCAAAGTCCTCCATGTTCCCATAATAAATCAATACCTCTGAGGATACTGATGCAGGAGTTTCCTTTACTTCTGGTTTGGTTTAAAATGACAAGACTACGAAATCGAACATTAATAGTCGTAAACCCAAAAATTGGGTAGGCTGTTCAACGACGGATATAAAATAAAATTTATTAATAGCAGCCATTAGGGTACGCTCTGTTTTTATGCTAAAATTAACACAAGTTTTATGCAGTTAAAAAGTGTCAACAACTAAAAATTGTTTTTAAATGTTTCGTCTTCTTCTTAAAAGAATAAAATAAAAAGTAGATGAATAAATAAAGAAATAAAAAGAACGAAAATGTTTCGACCAAAAGACCTTTCACATAACTAATGTCACTTTGTCAACGAAGAGCTGAAGCATGTAGAGCTAAATCACCAAAATTAAAAATTAAAAGCAAACTATTTATATAAATGTTATATTTTGTTTTAATTATGTTAGTAGAATAAAACACGTACAGAATAGTTTATAATTTGTTCTTATTGTGAATGATTTTTAAAATTAATGAAAGAGAGAGAGAGAGACGTTTTAATTTGAAATTGCAGATGAACTAGGTCAACAGATATCAATCAGAAATACTGAGAGGAAGAAAAAAATAGTTTTGAGTGTGTCTTTCGAGAAAAAAATTCTTTTATTTTGTCACAATTGATTCTCCGAACTCCCAAAGCTATAATTAAGTGAGCAGGGAATTAAATTTCCAGGGAAACTCATTTTAATGTTACGTATGAAGAGTTCATAGTTATCGCAATTGTTCAGTTTTGAAGCAGACGAAATTAAAATGCACAGTTAATTTCGCACATAAAAAGAATCAAATTTTTCTTCCAATTGTTAAATATCTAATAAATGCTTATATATTTATTTAAAAAAAAATCTTAACTTGTTTTTAACTTAATTGGATACAAGAATTAAAGAGTCTCTTAAACTTTCTCTATTTATCTAAAATATTGAGAAGAATTTTTGGACATTTCTCTCCACCCCGCCATCGACACTCGCGATGACGTAGCTCGTAGATTAAATTTAAAATGCTTTTGTCTTATTCAGTGAATATTACTTCTATTTATATTTATACCTGATTTGTTATAATGTTTTAAATTTTTATTTTCTAACCTTTTATTTGATTTTCAAGCATTTTATGCGTTTATGAAAGAATGAACTTCTTAAAACTTTTGTATTACACGGAAACACCAGAATTTAGAGTTGTAAGTTATATGCTAGATATTTTTAAAACTTTATTTTGAAATGAGTACCACAATCCCTGCAAAGCTAGACTAAAATAGTTTATTATCCAATGAGCCATGTTTATGATTGGACGATCAAAACGAGCAGGGTCTCCTAACTTTGCAACGATTTCAAGACGAAAAGAAAATCTTTTTTAAATTTTGAACTTTTGCTTTTAAATGAAACTAAAGACAAAACTAAAAAAAAATAATAAATAAGTAAAAAAAATTTAAAAGTCGTTTTTATTGATAAATAATTTTCCCTGCACAGAAGAAAAAGCTAAAATTCGAAAGTTAATTATAGAATGTTAGCCTTCTTCCTTCCGGAAATCGTGATAAAAGATCAAATTTTTTTTAAAAAAGAAAAGGGAAAAAAAAAAAGAAAAAAGAAGAAGAGTAATATATTTTTGGTAATGTAAAGAAATACATTTTCTCCTTCCTACATCGTTCTTGCTTTAAACTCTGTTTTGATTCTAAATTCATAGAAAATATTTTATTATTGTGATGGTTGCATTGTTAGTTTTAGTCTAATTACCCGGTATTCTTTTAATAAAATGTCAACCGTTTACACAGACAACTATTGTTGAAAAAATAATTCGCTGAATAAATATTTGTAAAGTCTACGTTGAAGGGTAGGCTACGTCATTATACGAAGAATAATTATATATTTACTAAAAAGGAATAGTTCTAGAAAATAAAATAAAAAGATTTCTGTAAGTAATCCTCAGAATTATAATTATTGATATACATTTTTCAATCAGTCTGACGAAATTAGTCCAACTATACCTACTTTAAAAAACATAGCTTTTTATATCAAATGTAATTTTTTAATTATGATAAGCCCTGAATAAAAAAATCATTTTAAATTCCCTTACAAAATTCATGCTTTATGAAATAGTATTAATATGTATGAAATTGAATGAAAATTTTTGGAAGCATTTCAAAAAATTATTCTCAGAAGTATCATTATTGTTATTGATATACGTACGTTTTTCTATCAGATTGATAAAATTAGCTCTGTTAAAAATTATTATAAAATGGATAATACTTTTACTAGAAATAAAATGTTCCAGAAGGAATTCTTGCAACTACAAATATCGAGATTTTTCCTTTTCGCTTTATTACAATAAGTTTTCCCATTACACAATATTTGCGCAACTACACCTGTTTTGCAAAACATAACTTTATCTATAAAAAAATGATTTTTTTTTATATAAGATAAATCCTAAATTAAAAAGTATCTAAAGCTTTTTTAACATTAAAATTACATGATTATGTAATTTAAATTACATGAAAACTTAGTGAAGCATTTCAAAACATTATTAGCAGAACGCTAGTTGTTATCAGAACTGTAACTTTACTTACTGAGGAAAGTTTTTCTACTACTTTTGCAAATTAGCTCAGTTACACCTGATCTGAAAAACAGAGCCTTATTTACATCAAATGAATTTCTTATTCATAATAAGTCTTGAATAAAAAATTGTTTAAAATTACCTTACAGTTTCAAAATTATAGGAAATTAAAAATAATTATTTTTGCACAAAATAAATGTCTTTAAAAAAAATGCAGTGAATTATTTGGTTTCTATTTAGAGTTCAAACAAGATAGCAATTTTCTGAAATCTCTTGTTAATTGCAATAAAAATAAAAGGGAAATGCATATTTTCAATTGTTTAAGGTCTCCGATTGGTAAATTCATGAAATTAAAAGCAAAAACTTTTCATCTAAATATGAAGCTTTTTATATGCTAAGATACGCTACTAAATTGATTACAAGAGCGACGCCATCTTATAATTTTTGCTTTATAAAAAAACTTTGAATTACAAAATTTTTGGGAAAATTATTATATCAAATAAATTAATTTGATCAATAATTAAATATTAACGGAAATAATTAAAGTGTAAAAAAAACTTGAAAAAATCTAGACACATTTTAATCAATGAATTTAATTTAAGGAATTGTAAGAAAATATAAGTTTTGTTTCTCAGAACCACATGTAAGACGAACCCGAAAATAACCGACGGTTAGAATAATGAACTTGAATGGAACATGAAAGAGGAT